GAGCTATTCACACATTAGCCCCACACACCACATTCTGAAGACTGTTACAAGCTGTCACGGGCCATGATATAAATACAGCAGATGTCAATTGATAACTCAGATGTCAACCCACCAGATGAGTAATTCTCTGATGGAGGACTCCATTAAGCAAGGCTTACAGGACTATAGACTCTGAAAACTGGCTGCTTCTGTCTGTAAATTCACATGTGCAAAAAGAGCTGTGGAATATCCCCATTACCATGCATTTTCATGTAATGTGTACTTTGTAATCTCATGATCACATCTCAATCTTATGGGCACTTATATCTGTGGACTGTCTAAAGACTTATCATTAAGCTGTATAATTTCAATAAATAAAAATATACTAGGATATCCTTAATAACTAGGATTATTGCTTCATGAGGACTCTAAGCACTTAGGACCTGTTTTTTTTTTGTCATTAGCTCAAATTAACATAAAGAAAACAGCAATTTCTTCTCAGTTCTAAGATAAGCTGCATACAACTGGCTGATTTGGGCCTCAGAGCAAATTCAAATTAGACTGTTTGTCTCTGTGAATGGATCATAATTTAAACTTTCACAGATAATACACAAGGACAGAGGTTCAGATGTCTGGTTTGTTGAATCTAAGTCCTTTAGACACAAAAATGACCTAAATTGCAGCTTCCCCTTGCCATGTCTAGCTGATAACAGGACTGACAACACTCCCTGCTCAGACCTTTTAGCAATTAACACTACATACAAATCTCTAACCTCAGTTTATGGTTTAGGCTCAGCTAACTAACTGTTTATTGTTTAGGGTCCAAATAATGATCAATTAACCAAGTCCAGAGAGGAATAGTTTTATGTCCAGCTACTTTGGGAAAAGTTTCACAATTAGCCAGGATTACAGAGGATGGTCCTCACAGCCTTGAATAAAGAGTTACAAGTTCCCTTCTCTGTGATCTGTGATTTCAAACAAGATAATGTATGTGTGTGTGCGTGTGCATGTGTGTATGTTTGGGACCGTTTTAATGCCACCATCTGGGAAATGCCAAACCCCATGTCACCACCTATTTGTTGCCATGGTAAATGGCTCTGCTTCTTATTGTTTACTCAAGGAGAATTAGAACAGGAGAATTAGGGGAGAGAATTAGAGCAGAGAACTAGAGCTAGAGAACTGAGGAGTAGAAAATAAAGCGCATTACCCTCAGATCGTATGTGAGTCTTTTTCCTTCAGATCGGTAAAGAAATTTTTCTAAAGTCCCACTACTCTGAAAAACATTCTTTTTGCAACCCTGGGTGCAGTCCTGACAGTTGGTCCCAAAGGCTTTAGCAGAAGACTTATACCTCACTGTGGATAAGTGTTCCAGAAGTTGGCTTTCAAACATAAACTAAAGTAAACACTCTTGACAGCATGAATTGCACTTTTAATTCATACTAGTTTATGTGACATAAGCATAAAGGAAATTAAATAAATTCTAAAGCAATAAGACAAACAAGAACTTAATTAAAACATGAAATATAATCTGCATTGTTGTATAATGGGAAGAGCCTATCTTTAAAGAGCCTCAGAATTATTTTCTGGTCCTAGACCTCAATGACTTATACATGTTGCTATAAGCTAATTTTATCACCTATGAAATAAAACCATAACAACTTCATCATATGAATGTTGTCAGGATGGAATTAGATATACATTCATAGAGTGACTAATGTAAAACTTGGCAGAGAGTAGGTCCTATGTCAATGGAGACATTTATGATAATTTTTTTCTAGATGGCCTTAACTTCTACTGGAGTATATTTATTATGCATAGTGAT